CGGGAAATATTTTCTAGATTATATAATAACAAGGTCATCTTCAAAAGTTTCTTCGGAATGAATGAAGATATTAGTGTTCGATTTCCAAAATGCTATTATGTTTTTTATCTTGTTTTACTCGATATTATTCAAGTATAGCAGATTACATTTCTAAGTAATCGCTTTATTAACATTAATTTTAAAATTTAATCCTACGATATTTTTTGTATGAGTAAATTTCTTGTACATTCTTGCAGAAAAAATATTGAGCAAAAAGTAAGTTTATTTGCGTAATATTTTGAAATAATATTTGTTTATTTATATAACTGTAATAAACCTTCGTTTTATTGATTAAAGTTAAATAAAAATTATTAAAAATAAAAAGATGAAAAATTCAAGGTGGATGATTCTATTTTGTTTATGCAAAATCGTATATGCATGATTACCTAGTCTCTTGTCATCTCGTTAAAAAATTGTCTTTGAGAAAAAATTCTTTCCATCATCGAACGTGCTATTTAAATTGGTGCAACTTTGTCTTGACTGTTTTCTCACATAAATACAAAAGAACGGAAATATAACTGAAATGGTAATAGCGCTGCCGAATCACCCAGTATATATGACTTATGTCATTAAAGCTTTGTATCAATATAAAAATCGACTTTCATTATGGCACTAATGCATCGAGCAAAAAAAAAAACGGAGAAAGCGAGAAAGTCTTACATTTTTCTGTGGTAATGAAAGCGAATGAGAATAATGTTAAAATAAATTATACAAATCTTAATTATTTTCAGGTTTTACTAACATAAGACATGGTAGATATTTATAAATACTCATATAATTGTTTTGCGTGAGCGATAAGAATTAAAAAAAGAATTTATCTACATTGACTTTCACAAATATTCGGTCACAAAAGTGATAAGTAACTTTATGAATTCATATTTCAATTATTTCAAAACTCAGCCTTTGTTTTTCTTTTAATTCAGCTATTGAAACAATTGGAATTCTTCAAATTTTTTTCTCTAATTCATCCCATAAATTGTCAGTGGGATTAAAATTCAGTGGTTGATTTAGGATGAAGAATTTTAAGTCATTGAATTAATAAGAAATCTTGCACAATGCGCGTGCTTCATGCTTGGGGTATTTGTCCTGATAAAGATTTTTTTGTTATGTTCCTCTTTATTATTTGTTCCTATTTTCATAAATATTAACAAATAGTTATAACGGTAAGCATTATAGGATGCGTAGGATACTTTCAAGATATATATGGATTATTTATCAAATTATATATAGTGAAAAAATTTAATAAATCCAATGGGTTCTTTCACTATAGTCTTTCGGCTATTTCTTTGTAACAGTTTACAGTCATTTTCTACAGTTGCATTATTATTATTGAATTACTATTATTCCGGTTTTTTTTGGCACTTCGAAGTAAATTGTTTTTAAGTATATACAAAGATTTTAATTCATAATGCTAGTAACATCAAGCTTCGAAGTGTATTAAAAAAATGTAACCTTAAATCATAGGTCCCTCACGATTTACTGCACTTTTTATATTCTTGAAATACTATTTTTTATTTACTTATTGCCACATTATTAAACTTCTTTAAAAATTTTAAAGGTTGAATTTGTTTTCGTCAGCAAATATTACATACTCATTCCATATGTTATTAATTTTCTGTGTAATCTTCCTCAATTCATTTCAATACGAATGCGTCATATGTTAAAGAGATTATTCGCAATGACATCATTGTTTTAGTTTCCATGATATTAAGCATTTAATTAAATAAGTAAAGTTACATTTATAATTGTTTTCTAGAGAAATTTCATAGCAGTGATAATTCAAATATTTATATAGTTTATATTCTTTTGTTAGATCGTTCACTGTTATATCGAGCTCGTTGGAAATAGCCAAGGAAAAATATTATTTGTTTTGACACCAAAAAAAAATGGCTTCCAACATCGCACATAAATTTTTTATCACTTGATCCAGAAATTATCTAAATCAATTCTTGTCCAAATATTAATAAATAAATAAAAAAGAGATATAACAAAGGTAAAATTGATCTCAAAGCCATGAAAAATATTGTATCAAGTTAGAACCTAAACAAAATATGCAATAATCACCATGCATCGTTACGCGAATATATTAGTATATACAATGATCGAGGGATAGTCATCTAAACATAAATCATTATTTTTAAAGTAAGTTACTGTGTTTTCTTTTACCCTAATTATAAATGTAATTTTTTCTAATCGATCTCATGTGTTTCGAGAAGATAATTTGAAATACAATATATTAAGAAATCTTTTTTTTGTAAATATTCATAATTGTATAAGAGTACAAATTAACCTTACACCTTAATTGTATCATTGAAGATTTAATTAAATGAGAAAAGAAAGGAATTGTCATGTCGAAATCATCAGAAAGCAATAACGCCAAATTTCAATCAATAAAATATTGCGAAGTAAGTTGAGATTTATTCCTACTCTTTAATCCTGTGCCATATTTGTCAAATCTCGTAATTTCATTGTAAAATAATAACCTTCTTCTGTAGTCTCACGTGACTAACTATTGTTTCTGCTTCAAAATTATTTCTCGAGAAATTTTTGAGAAAAGCCATTTATCTAAATTTTGCACACTTTTCGAGAAATTATTATTATTTCTCGAGAATTTAAATAAATCGCGCGTTTTAAATTACATTCGTATTCTAAATTAAATGAAAATAATTATTATGATTCCTATTGTGATGTGGAAACTATAAAGATAATAGATGTTTGCCTGCGACTAACAATTAAAGAAACAATTACAGCTAGACGAAAAATATTAGGAAGCAGATAAAAAGTTTTCGTAACAATTACTAATTCTAGTTTTGAAATATCGAAATAAATTGAGTACAGAACCCGGTAAATACTTTTTTAAATCTAATCTTCAAAGTACTTCAATCTTTTCTTTTCTTCTTTTTATTTCTATTTATCATTTTTTATGACTGTAACGTGCTATTATATTATGCAATAAATAGTATATTATACTGAACAAGTTACATAACTAAAAATAATTATATAGTTCGAATTCTTTCAGTATTATATATCATTCATTTGGTTGTAATATTAAAAATATTTGAATGATGTGATGAAACAAAATTTCAGAATGGAAAAATTAAGGAAGGCAGAATCGGTGGGGTCAAAGTACAAAAAACATTGAATACAAATGACAATGATAATATAAAGAAAATGAAATGGCCGACATTGTGCGATGCAAATCCATATATAGTAGACCTTTGGAAAAATCTCTTCAAGAAAGAAGAAAAATCAGAAACCGCAACATCCGCGACCGCATCACCAACTAATTAAACCCGACCTCATTGATTTTTCGATCTTAAAAGTATGTAAAAAAAAGAACATTAATAACCGATTAAATTAAATTAGTTTTCAATAATTTTTTCTTCTTATCTTTCTTTGCAAGTAAATAAATTGTCTAGAATCGATATGCATAGATGGGTTGAAAAAAAGTTTTGAATTTAACATAGAAACAATGTATTTTTTGGTTAAATTCATTTTTATTGACACGTTGACTATCACGTAGGTCATCTATGACGTGGCATTTGTACTTTCAATGGGGCCATTTGAGTTATCTGTGACCAGCGTTACTATAGGGTAGCGTAATAAGAACTGCAATTTTAATCTATTAATAAAAATTTTGCTCAAAGAGTTATCATCTTATCTTGAGCCGATATCATTCCGTATATATAATTCCTATGTGTACTAATCATATTGATACCAATACATATGAACATTAAAAAAAAAAATTGGTTTTTCTATTGAGATTTAAAATTGCACTTCTTGTTGCGTCATCTTCTACATTATTTTATATCTAATCTTTGAATTATAGCCTCGACGGCAAATTATGTTAAACTTGTGTGGTAGTTAATTTGTTAAAAAAAAAATGAGTAAAAGTGTTTTATTTTTTTGAGTCTCACAATTTTTCAACTTACTCCTCGTATCTTTATATTATATTGTTTTTTAAAATAAAATAAAAGCAAAAAAGAAATATAGAGAAAGCAGACCCATAGGTATGAATGCATTACGATGAACTTTAAATCTTTTTTTAAACTAGATCTTCTTTTCTGACTTTTATCTTATACTTATCTCAAATGTATAATTCAAAAGAATCAGAATACAACTATTATTAAATTTCATTATTCGTAACCGTTGTTAAGGGTAAGAGTTTTTTTCTTTGGGAATAAGATGGACAAATTCAATATTTTAGATTAAAATAAATATCACTTTAAATATGTGTGATAAAAAGAAAAAGTATATCTTTTGAGAATAAAAAGATAATATCGATCAGTTGATTTTTTCTTTTTTCACTCAAAAAGATTCTCTACATACGTGAAAAAAAAATATCGAATAATAAATAACGAATAGATGAATACAAAATTGATATTTATACAAAAAATAATTGGATATTTCTAACAATATAATATAAACTATTTAAAGAAATAAGAAGATATAGTAGAGTTTGTGTTAACAAAATGAATAATTTGCAAATCACGGAACAAATTTCATTGAAAAATTATATATGTATAGGCATGTATGTATATAGATAAAATTTAATTTTTTCATTATTAGATGCCTTGGCGCGATTGTCATTCCATATAAATTTGTATCGTCGTATGGTATACGACTTCTATATGGGTTATTCTCGCTCTTTTGGTTTTTTTATCTGTTTTGTCCACTATTATATCACTTGTTTTGTCTATTTTTTTCTACCTAGACGACACTACTTTTTTTCTGTCTGTTTTATTCATCATTTTTTATTGCTATTTCGTCTATCTTTTACTAATTCGACATCACACTTTCTCTTTCTCCCTCTCTTTCTCTCTCTCCCTCCATTATCTACTATCATTCTATCTCTATCGTTTCATCTATCTTTTTCTCCTATTCTTCCTCTCTCTTTCTTCCTTTCTCCATCTTATTCACAATAGCCACCTGTTAGAATGTAATGTATTAAGTTTACTTACAAAAGAAATGGTTGAACTCGCGATGAGTGTTGGTAATTTTTGAAAAGCTGCTTGTTCTTTCTTTATTCTTCTGAAATACACGATCACGATGTGAATTTTTTGCTTCTATTATATCTTCAAAGTTTTTTCTATTTTTCTTATTTTTTATATTCTTTCATTAACAAACACTGTGCGATACCAAGAAGAAACAGTTAAAATGATTCATTGCACGTCTAGAATGATTCTGCAACTCACCAGACACGTGATGCACTTTTTTAAACCAACGAGAGATGAATAAAAAAGAGAGATTTAAAACAGGATAAAAAAGAATAAAAAAGAAATTCAAAAAAAAAAAGAAAAAAGAAATCAATTTTTCTTTACGCCGGAAGTGGATAAGGTGGATAAAACAATTTTTTTCGAGTACAAAGAATTTAACGGTTAGAGACTCGACTCACTGATCAACCGATCGAAGCTCTTCTTTTTAAAGACGGAAAGTTGGAAGGAACCGACAGGAGTAGAAGCGCAGGACAGTTATGTGTGTACGTTAAGTTTTTATATCTATATATATATATATGTGTGTGTGTGTTGTGGGCTAGTGCATCTAACATGTGTGCATGCTTACGAGCATGGCATGTGTATTGTAACGTATTTCTTTCTATACGCAATTTGTGTAACATATGAGTAAGAGAGAACGAATGAGTCGAGAAGAGTAGGAGAAAAGAAATAAGAATTTCAGTCACGACGAATAATGACGACGATCGATGATGATCTATAACGATGGTAGATCGATTCTATCATGATTGAAAGATTCCGAAGGTTGCAGTACGTACAAATCCACAAGAAAAAAAAATACTCCCGATTTTTATGCTTCTTCCACTTGGGTTTTACGAATAAATTCTCATAAATGAGAGTCCCTCTGTTATTAGTTTCTTTTTTTTCTTATTTGTGACGATAATATTACGATGCACACACAATTTATTTATAATATAAATAATATTAATAAGGAAACAGAAATTAACGTTTAGTTTATCTTTTTTCTACTCAGTTGTCAACTTGAACATTCTAACGGAAATGACGGTAAGTTTTAACCAAATGCGCGCTATATTTGAAACTTTTCGAATAGCTTTTACTGGTTCTTATGGGTTCTTAATAAGAAGTCAAAAAATTGGAAAAAATTGATTCTATGATTTATTTTATAATATTAATAATTGTAATAGATCATTTTTCCAATTTTTTGACTTTGTTTTCTATCATAATTAATGGCATACTTAAAAATATTTAATTATAAAGTAAATATCGCTTACATTTAGTCGAATTGTTCGTAGAAAAAAATGAAATTAATTTATTTAATAGTTCATAACTTCGTACTCTTGGTCCATTTACTTTGATCAATTATTTTAAATTCGTCGATTCGTTGAAATATTTATATGAGACAATCGAAACATTTCGATCTAATCTTTTTTTTAATGTTGTCTTCATTTTCCTTGGATTTACTTTCCAAAGCTAAAATAAAAAGGACAAAAATGAAAATAAACGTGTTTAAAGTGGAAGTTTAAAGTCGTTAAACTCCCGTAACCAAATCAAATGTTTCTTTTGTTTGAACATTTTTTCTGAATTTGAAATCAATTTTTTCAATTTTTCGATTTACTATATTGTCATAATTACCAGCACAATTGTGTGACATCAAAGTTACATAAAGTATACAAAATACAACCTACTTATTAAATCTGAGCCGATATTCATTGGCACTATTTTATTATTTTCTAATTCTCGTAAAACCATTGCATTGAAGCATAAACTAGCAACTCTTGCGAACAATTCATTAACTCCGTCTCCAGTTCTAGCTGAAACTGTCCAATATTCAGCTCTCATTCGATTCGCAACATCTATCGCACGATTTTCAATAATCTCATATACTTTGTTCGACTGAAAATAAATAAACCAAATGTCAGGTTTAAAAAAGGGGAAATAAAAAATAAATATAGTTACTCAGACTTTCGTGAAATTAGATTTAGATTATCTTACCAGTAAATCTCTTTTCATACCAACTAAAAAAACATGACAAAAGTTAGTGTTACTTTTATATGCTTCTATTAACCATTGTTGACAATGTGCCAAAGTTAGTAAATTTCCAACATCAAAAACAACTATAATTGCTGTAACATGGATGAATTTCAGAATTTTAGAATTTCAGAACAGTGGACAAATTATAAATTCAAAAATTTATTTTACGACTTATTTTGAAATTAAAATTACGGAAAGATAATATGAAACGTAATATTTTTCCGCAATACATTCAATTATACAGTGTAATTTTTGCATATAAAGAAAATTTACCATTAGCCGCTCGATAATAGGAAGCAGCGATACATTTGAATCGCTCTTGTCCAGCTGTATCCCATCTGAAAGTATAATTTTATTTTTACAGTTCGATGCGATGTGCTTGTCTTAGGAGAAAGAATTTAAAGCATTTCAAACATTCACTTACATTTGCAAGTGAAATGGAACTCCAAGAACATCAAACCTTTCTACTTCAAAATCTACTCCAATGGTCGCCTTATAATTGTTATCAAAAAGTTTGTGACAAAAACTGATAAATGAGATAATATTATTTATATAATGTTTGAATTAATAAAATTAAAAGAGTGATTCTGGCCGAAAATTTAGAAAAATTTTCACAGAAAGTTTTTCGGAGATGGAAGTAGCTATTTTTATTTACAAACATTCATTTTTTCGGAAATTTGTTTTCTATTAGTCTAAGGTGTGATAAAAGGTACAACAAAATTTTAAACCAAAACTCATTGTTTTTATGGAAAAATAAATTCACGGAAATAATTTTATTTTTGCATTGTTTGAGCAGAATAGCTCCTTAAGTTAACACTTTGTAGGCGAGCTCCATTTTTAAATGTGTAGCGACAAAATTTAATTGACTAATCACATATAGAGTTATTTGCCTAAAAATATAAAGTAATTGTTATTTTTACAAGAATAATTAATTTATTATTTTGTACTACTGTCTATCAGATCACTGAAATTACAGTTTCTCGCTTTCGACGTTTGTTCTTGTCCGAACCACGATCATAATCTCCCGTCTACAAAGTGTTACACTGAAAAACAAATTTTGAATTTATATTATATTATACCGATTTACTAATGAAGTTTTTCCAACCGCTACATCTCCAATGACAATTACTTTTGATATTCGAAGAATAAAAGATTTCTCTGCACAAGCTTGTTTAACGACATCGTTGAAATCTCTTTCGTAATAAGGAGTTATCGCTGAAGAAAATGGGGGTGGCCATTTGTGAATCTATCGATAATTATATTATTATATTTTATGCATACAAATTGAAATAAACAATATAAAGCATATTACATACTTGTCGTTCTTCATGAGCGTTAGTTTTCATTAATTTAAATACGGCAGAACGTGTTTCTAACATCTTTTTCAATGAAATATATGCATTTAATTTACTTTTACTAATTTTATGGAAAATAATCAATTAGTGAATTAACAATAAACAATAACAAATATGTTTTAACGTTATATCATCACACTGTTATAAGTATACTTTTACGAGGAATGCTAATATTTCTGGTCATTCAAGGGTCTTAGAGAGTACTGTCCTAAAACATAAACATTGGTTGCTGTGGCAGATGTTTCCTACCGTACTTGGGGGCATATTAGCGTTGAAAGAGGTATTCTAATATTACGGCTAAAAAAAATCGATCTTTTCTTTTTACATTTGTAGTTTGTTAAATAAAATGTAAAAATTTTAGCACAATCGGTCTTATAGTTTCTTTTTTCGATAAAAACAAATTCAAAGTTTAAGGTACCGTTCTTAGATAGGGTAAAAGTCAAAATAATGAAAAATTTAATAAAGTATCTATAACCGACATATGCTAAAGTAGTCACTTGTTCCAAAAATTTATATAAAATTGTTCAATGTTTTAAATTATTTACAAATGTAGTATTATAAAAGTGTTTTTCTTTTTCTAACCAAAATTATTCCAAAATAATAAACTAAAAATATGTGTATTTATGTCGATAGAATTAACATTTTCTTTTCCTTGTAAGTATCTAGCAGATTATATAAAAGAGTTTTTATATTTCATATATTTACAGCATTTGCATTTAATTATAATTATATATTATAGGATAACACATATGTATATGAAATTGTATAAGAATACTTACATATATATTACATATATATTAAGTAGGTTATGTATGTTTATACAATTATGTAATTTTTAAAAAGATAATAGATGTATATTTGATCTCTAAAATTGCTTTGCATAATGAATGACCTAGATATTTTGCTTAACTAATATATGCATGAACACATTTTGTGTCTAGTGCATATATAATAACGAATATATTTCAAAATACATTAACAGTTATTGCGTTAGATGCTGTATTTTTTACGCATATTTATTTACATATTTTTTGCTATTTCTTCTAATATATTTGATTGGTATAAACATCTATAACCTATTATGCAAAATAAATGATATTTATATTTAAATATTTATGTGAATATCACATATTAGAATCTATTTATAATCCAAGACGTCCTGGAGTTTTACGATATGGTGCAGGCGTACCTGGTTCTCTAATGCCTGGTGTAAGAATTTCTTTCCTAGGAATAAACAAAATAAAACAAAAGTAGTAAGAAGAATAAAAACGTGGAATAAAAGATAAAAAAAAAAGAAATATAATTGATACAAACATACTGAAAAAAAACTTACTTTTTAACAGAAGCTTGTTCGCGTTCTAGTTGTTCTTGTGCTCTTGCTTTCATCTCCTCTTCTGCTTCTTTCATTTGACCTTCCATTTCGTGCAAATGTTGCATCGCTTGTCTTCGTTTTGCACGACCACTTCGTCCTGTTTCTTTAACACTAAAGAACATTGGACCTAGTTCTGCTAACCAGTGTCCATCTACTGCAGTTACACATTGCATGTATTCTTTTGCTGTCATAACTAGTTCGTGATAAACGACATAGTCCGGCGTAAAACCCATGCCAAATAAAGCTGATGTAGGATGAAGATGACACGGCATTCCCGTACGACAATTAACATATTCGCCTATACCCTTCAATCGTGCCGCTTGATGGAAATACGCAGAACATATGCATTTCCGTACTATGTCCCAATCAGTGCCGCAACTAACAACTTCCATTTTTTGTTGCTTTAAAATTTCTTCCAATTGTTGACGCACTTCTCTGACTTTACGTATAGCTTTTGCATGTATGAAATGATCGTTACACCACGACGTAGAGTATCCATTAGCTTTCCATTGGTTATATACATTGAGGTAAGTTAAGTGATCTGATTCTGGAATTTGAAATTTTTCTCTTGCCGAATCAGAATCTTCTTCTCGACCTTTTGGTCGATAAAATATTGAAGGCACTGATAACATGGAGACTGTAATAACAAACAAAAAAGATAAATTATTATTGCAATTGTACCATATAAAAATTTGAACAATTTATGCTAATATTTAATGATCTGAAATTGAAACTAGAGCTAAGTAGTTTTAATAACAGCATAAGAATTGTTCTATGGATTGATAATTTCTTGACAAAATAAAGATCATAATATTATAGAATTTGTAGTAGTTTTCACATAATTTAGGTATATATATATATATATATATAAATTGTGTGTGTGTGTGAAAGTATATTAATAAGACTTAAATATTATAAAATATATACCTATAATTAAAATGTCTGCAGTGCAACCAAGTTGAGAAGCAACTATTAACATTTGACATTGCGGAGGATCCAAAGGAAATTCTGCCATTTGACGTCCTAAAGGTGTCAACCGTCCTGTATGATCGAGAGCACCTAATATCCATAATTGATATAAAGAATTAAGTATATTATCTTGTGGCGGAGGATCCATAAAATGGAAAGCAAGTAAGTCTTGAACTCCCAATGATTTTAGAAGTAATACAGTGTTAGCTAAATTTGTACGCTGAATTTCTGGTACTCCTGTGGCCAATAACTCATCTAAATATTGTCTACGCGTGTATAACCTGTAACAACAACCAGGTCCGGTACGACCAGCCCTTCCACTCCTCTGGTCAGCATTAGCTCTTGAAACAGGATATACTTGAAGAGCATCCATACCAATTCGTGGATTATACACTTTCAATTTACAGTAACCCGAATCAACGACAAATACGATTCCATCTACTGTCAAAGATGTTTCAGCTATATTGGTTGCAACAACGCATTTACGTAATCCGCCTTCAGAACGTTGAAAAATTTTCGCTTGTAAATCTGACGGTAATTGAGAATATATTGGTAAAATTGAAAGTGGAGGAGCCGATTCTATTTCAGCTAATCTTTCTTTCAATGCTTCGCACGTGACTTCAATGTCTTCTTGACCAGGCATGAACACCAAAATATCTCCACTTTTTGGTTGCAAATGAATTTGCAAGACTTGTTTTACAGCGGCGTCTACGTAATCTTCGACTGCATTTTTTGCATGTAAAATCTCAACAGGAAATGTTCTACCAGGAATCTGAAATGTTGCCGCGTTTCCAAAAAACGCGGAAAATTTACTTGAATCCATTGTCGCGGAAGTGACGATTAATTTTAAATCATGTCTTCTTGCAACAACCTGTAAAATATTTATAAAGTAATGATAAATAAATTTTATACGAAGATAAGATAATTTGTAATATATTAAACATTACCTCTCGAAGTAAACCAAACAAGACATCAGTAGAAAGAGATCTTTCATGAGCTTCGTCCATAATTATAACGCTATATCTATCTAAATCACCTTCTCGCAAGCTTTCTCTTAACAAAATACCATCTGTCATGTATTTTATAACAGTCTGTAAAAATAAACAGTAATAATAAGTTATCAAAATTTTATTGTATTCAAAAAAGTATGTAATAATTTATAACATTACTTACATCTTTGGATGTACAATCTTCGAAACGAATTGCGTAACCAACTTTTTCTCCTAATGCTGTAGCCATTTCATCAGAGACTCTTTTAGCAACTGACATAGCAGCTACTCTTCTGGGACACGTACATCCAATTATTCCATTGCGACTATAGCCATCTTCGTGAAGGTATTGCGTTAATTGAGTTGTTTTACCGCTACCAGTTTCTCCTACTATTACGACTACACTATTTTCTCTGATAACATTCAAAAGTTCCTGTCTTACGGCAAATACAGGAAGACTCCTTCTTTGATGTTGTATAGATCGATTTTTTGCTTCTCCGGTAATTTCATTGGCACCTATATGTCTTGCATATTTCTGTCCAGCTTTAAAGTCTGTTTCTTGACCAGGAACTTCTTTATCATCTTTTCTTCTGTCACGTACACCCATAATATTACCAATATGAGTTCCAGCCAATTCCCAGTGTTTTTTTTGTGCTCTACGACGTTCTTTTTGTTCACGATATGCTCGTACCAATGCAGAACCTTTTCTTGCCACAAGTGCCATATCGGAAGTAGGATCGCGCACGGGTACAACAGGCTCTGGCTGCTTGGTGAATACAATTCGTCCTAATCAATCAATGATTACATTGTATTGTATTTTATATATATTATCAGCAATTAGCATAAAAATAATACATTCCAAAACAAGAATAACTTACCATCTAAAAATGGAGGTACTACGTTATGGACAAGAAGATGAACTCTTCCTTCCGCTTCATCATCCGGATCATCATCATGATCTAAGGAACTTACAACACCAGAAGTTAACATTCTGTTTCTTTCCCATAGTTCATTATCTTTGTTTATTTGCCTCTGTTGAGCTGAAACTCGCTTTTGTCTTTTTGCCTCTAATTCCATTTCCTTTTTTTGAGTATATTCTTCTGATACATCAGCGAAAGCATAGTTTTCCCCATCATCCAATGCATACCATTCTCTATCAAGTCTATAGGAAAAAAATATATATAATTCTTTAATTATTAAGTGCACAAAACAAGCATCTAGTGCAGATTTACCATAAGTAGGACTCGTGTTTCTCATGAGTCACATGTGTTATAGTGCAAGGTCTTAATATATATTTTGTATCGCTGTACAGACAGTGATACAACTCTACAATTGGATCAGTCATAAGAAAAAGATTAAAAATAAAATAAATAAAATAATGAAATAATAGTAACCTTTGCTGTTCTTCCTCCCATAGTTCTTTTTCTTCACCATCTATCATTGGCGTAGTACCGGAAGGTCTATAATCTTTGTTCCAAGAGTTATATTTGTACGAGGGTGTAAATTCACTTCTAACGCTGTCACGACTATCTCTAGAAGCGTAAAGATTTGGGGTAGGATGATCCCAACTTGATTTCTTGGGTTCTTCATCCTCATCGTCATCCCAATTACTCTTGGATGTAGGATCCTGTCAGAATAATAATTATAACTTCAAATTCTACAATTGATATATCGTAAACATTCTATAGATGAAAATTACCTTGGTCCTAAACTTGGGTGTTTGGGGCTCATCCTTAAATCTAAGTGGAGTTCTTTTTATACTATCCCTGCTTCGACTACGTTCCCTATCTCGGTCTCTATCCTTTCTATTGTCTCTGTCGCGATCATGATATCTGGAATGCTTATCTTGGGCGCTTAATCTTTGATGTTTCAGTCGCGTTTCTAATCTTCTTTGTGCCTCGGTATTTACTCCACCTGTATGAGTAGGTGTTTCCTCTTCATAAGATCTGTACCTTTTTTTTCTTGTATCTAATTTGAATTTAGATTCTGTAGGTTCTTGCGAATTTTCTCGTCGTTTTTTTTCAGCAAGTTTATCCAAGCCCAAAACAGAAGATTGAGGTTTTTTAAATGTGTGATCGGATGCTTTTTTTCGAATAATTAAGCCACCAGGTTTATTGTCAGATCCTTCTAACCTATACAAACTGGAATCCTCCGACATAGTTTCTAACTTTTTATTTAATAAACTTTACGTGTATTTTTATAATGTTTTCTTTTAATAGAATTTTTATATCATCTTACAACGATATGTATACATGTATATAGTAAAATATAAATATTTTATTAAGTTTTCTTTCACTCAGCATTAGAATACACGCCGATTAAAAATACAACGAAGAAAGGCTAAGTTGTTGACTTTTTGAAGCACTGACTAGGAAAGATGGAGCTATTGTCGAAATGCTTGTAAAACAACGAAGGAACCATGGAACCTATATACAAGGAGGACGATCGCCGTGTTATAAATGTGGGTACAATATTCATAATGAAAGGATGATTTCTATTGCCACTAGAGCGCGTCTAGTCGCTTAGTCTAATTTTTAAAAACAGTAATTAAAACAAAAACATCAAAGAGAACTATAAATTTAATTTGTTTATTTAACTAAACTTAAGAACATCACCGCCGCCCTCGTGGATAATTATCGTACTCGATATTCAGTCATTTTCAACAACACAAATTCGACGCAAACGCCTATCTCGATTATCCTCATTGTATATAGCTTCGTTGAAGGAACGCTAAAAACAAACCTTAACAGCAGAAAAAAATTAATAAGTGCTTTTAATTGCACACTATTTGCTCAATCAAAATCCTCAAATGCTCAATTTATTAATTATTTAAATAATTAATTATTAAATAATGAAAATAGAAAAATTTAGTTCCCTATTTCAAAGCAGAGCACAAAGTTTGCAACAGCAAAAAAAGAATAAATGCTCTTATTTGCTCACTATTTGCTCAACTTTATTATATCAAATATTTTTTATTTATCGTTAATAAGTTGAAAATAATTATTACACTTTGAATAATTATGAAATAGCGAAGTCATGAGTGGGAGCTATGTATAAACATGCGCAACCACAAATTCAAGGCGCAAGCACCCTTGCAAAAAAATGGAAGTATACCGGCAAGGGATATATTTAAAGTTGATTTCCAAAGTAACAATCTATAAGGTAGTAAAAAGAAATAAGTTAATCGTTCATAATATATAAACAATAGGTAAATACTTTCATTTTTTTATTTTTTTCTGTTGTTGCGGTTCTATGCCAACTTTTTTGTGGTGAAGTATATAGAAACTCCCAAGTCCCTTTTTTATCTACCCAGCATCATTTTTGTTACCACTGGGACCACCATTGGACGGTAATGTGTACTTTACGCGATGACGGTACAATACTATCAAAGAATACAATATTCTTTGATAGTATATATAGTATAATTATATTGTAAGAAAATTTAAAATAATTATATTTAATTTTTAGTGTCTAAATACGTGTGTGCCTTCAGAAATGCGTTTTTTATACATATATATTTTAAAAAGTAGAAGATAATCAAAACGAGTAGATGATAAATCCAACGATGATCACCTGTAACAAAAAGAAAACTATATTAATCATACAATCAAGTGATAGAATAGCCTGATATAAAAATCGTCCAATTTGTAGATGCACTTTTCAATTGAATTCTATATTTATTTTGATGAAATCTCTATTTCACGTTGCAATGAAATTCAATTTAAACGCGTGATTTTACATTTATATAAAATATATAAACAAATATATCTATTAATTATTATGAAATACTTGTAAGCTGAAATATATAGGAAAGAAAAATTGCAAATTTAAAAAAATACGATCACAAAGAAAAATTTTAAAGACGAAACAAGAAAAGAGAAATTACTGAAATATTTACCAAACGTTATTAAAGCTTCATAATTTAATATTACAAAAATTCTAATATTTTTACTCTAACTTAAACATATGCATCATTTTGACGATTAAGAAACGAATTTGGTGTCTCAAGGAGATGGAATGGTCCATCATCTTCGATTAAAACTACAAATTAATGACGAGCAAAAAAGTAATAAAATATAAAATATGACTAGAGAGCTATTCTCGAAAAGTTCGAACTTGCTGTTGAACCTTTGAAAATAATTCAATAGTCTAGTAGTTGCCCACTTGATACCACAAATTTGTGGGGGCCTCTTCGGCATTAGCCTCTTCGGCATTTAGCCTCTTCTTTCTTCATGCCCTAAACGCTGCTGTGAGGCTTCTTTTTAACATTTACTCGAATGCCTCAACAGATATTTGATCTAATCGATAAACCTATTATTAACACTTTGCATTTAGAAAATTACAAAAGCAGAAACTTCGTAATACATCTTATGGTCTTACTTTTTTACTCGACCACTTTTATCTTTTATCTTTATTCTACTTTGTATTTACTATACATATATAAAAAATGAAGTATTTTCAGTAGGAATTACTAAAGAGCAAAGTGTTAATATACTTAATATTAAGTAAGTATCCAACGTATTCATCTATCTTTACTTTTTCAAAAAAAATTAATTTTTAAGAAAACGCAAAGACTTTTGAATTGTTCGATACTGATTTATATCTCTATAGAAAAATAGAATAAATTTTTGATTTATTTATAATAAATAAATTATCATATGAAGCTTGACTAGCGTGGTCATGAAGAAAGCCGAGCTACGTACGTGTGACGGCCCAAGCTTGTGTGCGTGAAATGCATTTCTATATGGTTATTGGGAATTTCTTATTGGTTACTTGACAATTATCAGCCAATCAGGGCTCTTTGCTGATATTCCTTCTTTCTTTTCGCAGCATCGGTGGTGGAGATCGCACGGATACTACGGCGTTCCGTTATTCTCAGGTAATTACAAAATATTTTCTAACGTCTTCTATTAATTGTCTTATATACTAATCGATTCTTTTAACAAATGACTTTCAAGTGATATAATCGAAAGATTACGATAATGTCGAGGATAAAAAATATTTGCATAGAAAAAAATTCCATGTACATTGGTATGCATTTTTATAAGCATTTTTATTTTTTATTTTACGGCATAATTTCTATAGATATCGACTTATAATGATCAATTTTTATTGTCTGGGTTAATAAAGTATATATTTCGACAATTGTTATGTTCCTATATCCTATTATTAACTATTCAATATTTTTCTATAATAGATGGAAAAAATGCAAAATTATCAAACAGCCATGACACCCATCATGACGTCATCAGAGCTGTGAGGCTTTGCGGGGGGGACTACCATGCATACTACGCCTGCGCAATACGTCACAGCAGGCGTTCCATAGCCTGCCACCATAGCGACCACCATATTTAAAATCTGTCAAGTGTATATGTTCCATCATCTCGTTTAATCAAGGTAATTGAAAAGTATTTTATACCTTCCTATTATATATCAAACGATAGCTACACACAAGATTTTCATACGTAAGTGTTTTCAAAACGAAATATTAAAAAGTTCGAAAGATATCTGTAATAATATAATTTAACCTAATCAAACCAATGTTACTTAATAATATTATTTTCTAATTTCGAGCTTTTTTTCACGATATCGATACTTACTACCATCTCTAATGATGCTCTAATTATTTATTTTTCATAATTATGTATTCAAAGATAGTATTTCGTGTTAAATTTGATTTTTATCACATACACACAGGCATATATACATAAGTATTAGGTAGCTGAAAGCACATACATTCTCATGTATTTGACTTTCTTTATATTGTACTAATGTAATTTTATTTTTTACTTCTCTTAGGTTTCGAGAGCATTGGAGAGTCCAGCAGGAATACATATACTCAGTCAAAAAATTGTGTCTACTCTTTTTTTATCTTCATATTCATCGAGGTAAGCGTTATTCTTTTTTTAACCTATATAGAAAGAGTAAGAAAGAGAGTAAGAGAGAGAGAGAGAGAGAGAGAATATAAGAAAACAAAACATTCGGCCTATAGGCAATAATGAATTGGTGTGTATATTTCCAGGAATTTCTCGAGGTGAAGAAAGACAACCGAAACAAAACGAAAACAACCGAGCACCGAGCATTCGATACTTCTAGGAGATATACACAGAGGATCTCCATTCCCCCTCCGTCCTTCAACGAGTTAAGATCTAACGAACGTGATGTATTAAACTATTTATTGATTTTATTTCTAACGTTATCTAACGT